CCCCCGCCGCCCCCTCCACGCACCCTCGACTTCGTGCAGCAGGTGGGCGCGGATGGCGTGTCTTGCCATGAGGCGTGTCACTTTGCCGCTGCGGCTTACACAACACCGATGGCGCTTGTCTTTCTCAGGACGAGCCGTGCCCGTGCCCGTGGGGAGCGCCAGGCCAGGCCCCCCAGGGGTGCCCGTCGGGTGCCCCGGGCCGGGGTGCTCGCCGCTGGGCGGGGTGGACGAGGACGCGTCCTCGGCATGCCGCTGAGCGGCCTTGCAGTCCGGGCCGCCCGTTGAGAGGCTCCGAGAGCCCGCTCGGCCCAAACTGGCGCCCATGAGACGGAACGCCCCGAATGTCTTTCTCCTGCCCCGAAGTCGCGTCCAGGATCAGGTACTTGCGGGAGAGTGGTTCGTGTGCGTCGAGTGACCCTGATGACCGACCTCAGACTGCTTTTAGCGAGAGAAACCCACTTGCGACTGAGATAGGCAAATGACGGAGATGTTGTTGCCTCTCGGTTATAAATCTTCCAACAACCCAGTATGCCCAGTATCGAAACAATGTCGGAAAGGCACACTGTATGTATACTGAAGACATCGTTTCGACAGTGAGGGGCACTATTTCTTCAAGCAGGTGCGACCCCGCCGGCCCTGCTGGGCGCGCTGTCCTGCGGGCGCGCAGGGCGCTGCATTGGGCCCCGCCGTCAGCTCCGGCGGCACCGCCTCCTGGACCCGCACCCAGGCAAGCTTAGAGAAGTCCCCATGGAAGGGGAAGTCATCGCGGGGAGAGACAATGCGACAACGCACTCTTCTCTTGCTGCGATTGACGTTCCAGCACGGAGGTCTGTAAGCATCGCGCCGACGACCCCCACGCTGAGGGCCGCCGGGGCCGTTCGCCCTCGCCGCTCTTCTTCAAGAATGGCGCCTTCTACGTGCAACACGAGAGGGGCGACGGCCACCCCCGGGGCGCCGTGGCGCGCTGTCGCGGCCGCCTGTCGCGCTGGTACGCGCTGCACTGCCCGCGCCGCCACGGGGCCGCGCGCCGGCGACACCCTCGTCGGCGTGGTCGCCGTCAGGATGCAACGAGGTAGGTCGCCTACCGGTCGTGGATCCCTTTCCCCCCGGACGCAGTCGACTCCACCACGCCCGTCCTGGCCGGCCTGCAGGTGGCCGACCCTCGCGGCGCTTCCCGGCCCGATGGCGCGGGAGCTGCCGGCCCGCCGCTGCCTCGCGTTCCTGGCCAAGTTCCTCCGATTGAAGTTCTTCCTCGGTTGGCGGCGCCGGGCCTCACTGAGCCTCCTCTCGCCCGCGTTATCCCCCGCAGTCCTGGCCGCGGCCCGCTGCGTCGGCCGCGTCGACAGGGCGAGCCAAACGCGGCACCCCCGCCGGCACAGGCCCGACGGCAAGGGGTGCGTAGGGTGACCCACTGACCTGACGGAGAGTGAGGGGAAATGGAAGTAGGGGTATGGGGGGGGGGAAACATGGTCCGGAATCGCATTATAGGCCTGTAGCGTAAAAGCAATCTGAGGTCGGTCCGGTATTGAGGTCATTGAACACTCTGCGATCTGGATATATACGGCAACCAATAAATTTCACTCAAGTATTTTTGAAAAATAATGTTGTAGAAGAGAATCGAGACTGGGAGTGCACTCGTACTTTTATCGGTCGCTAAATGTCTTCTCCTGGCAAGGCGCTCACCTCTTTCTACCCCGTCCTTACTCCTCAGTGACTGGGAGGCCGTAGAAGCAATCGTGCGCCTCGTTCTGGGACGCACCATGGACGATCTGGTGCAGCGCGTAGCCCAGATGTTCGTGAAGGAGCCCCCCATGGTGGTCGCCGCTCCGCTGCCCCTCCCCGCGCCCCCCTCGGCTCTCGCCCTGGTCCGCCCCCAGCAGCGCTCGCCCGCCGTAGAGGACAAGCGCGGGGCCGTCGCCAAGTCCGAGATGGTCCTGGTTTCGCCAAAGACGGCCTCCAGCGCGGTGGGAGCGGGCTCGGCAGGGAAGAGCCGCTCCCATCCTGTCGCCACCTCGCCGAAGGCCAGGATCTCCAAGCCCGGGCAGTGCCGCTGCAGGGACAGCCGAGACCAGATCGAACGGTTGTCCATGACGTGGGCATCCTCCGGCGACAGCTCCGACGTGCACCCGACTGCCAACAAGCCGGCCGACAGCCAGGTGGCCGTGGTGCCCAGCCGCTACAGCAGCGTGGTAGACCGGCCCCCCTGGAGGCACTCCTTCCGGACCCCCAGCGACGTGAGGACGCCAGGGTGAGTGCTGGGTTGGGCGACAACAGGGCGGGGAGGGAGGCGTCCTCGGTTCACCAAATTGACGGCGCTCTGCACCTCCAGCTGGAGCGGTCCGAGCCGAGCGACCCCGCCCGTGTCACCGCTCGCGTCGCCGCGGCAGAGGAAGGATGTCGTCCAGAAAAAAGGGAAGGCCACGGAACAGGCGGCCGGGGCGCACGAGAGAGCTCGCGGGGACGCCCTCGCGGACGCCCGGGGAGACGCCCGGGGAGACGCCCCGGCTCCTGACTCCGCCCCGGCGGCGGCGGCGCACGCCAGGTCGAAGGTCAACATCAAGTCGACCGCCTCCCGGATTCACCATCACCAGTCGTCGGTCCAGGTGTTGTACGAGACCCCGCCGAGGCCGCAGCCGGCCCCGGCACACGGGCACTTGGTCTCACCCGCCTCGCCGAGACCGTGCCAGCAGCAGCAACGGCGAGCGGGAACCGAAATCAAGGTGGTGAAAGAGGCCGAGGCCCAGGGCCCACTGAAGCCGGCCCTCAGCGAGGCCGAGACCCAAACTCACGGTGCTCCCGGGTCGGGACCCTGCTGCCGCTCCGTCATGAACCAGGTCCAGGAGCTGAGGAACCTCATCACCGGCCTTCAGCGGACCCTGAGTCAGCTCGGGCAGGATGCCAAGCAGAGGGACACTGAGGCAGATCGATGCCGGCAGGTCAGCGGGCTCGACAACAGTGCGTCGGTGTACCAGGTGGCTGAGAGCTCAGTTGGGATTTCGTATTTATACAGGGGCGGGTTGCCTACTCTCTGGGTGGCTTGAGCCCTGTCCTGAGATTGTAGCCAAACCCGCCCGCACGACCGCGTGCGATGCGTGTCAGCACGAAAATCCACGGGGCTTTTCAGCCACCTGCCAATTCTTAACTAATTTGATCTTTTTCTCGTTATTTCTAGGGTGTTGAGTTTTGGCAAAAGCGTTATGAAGATCTCAGGGAGGAACTAGTTCGATGCCAAAGAGCTCAAAATAACTTGCTCATAAAAAGTAAACCGAACGACGGCTATTCATGATGATGCTCGGTTCAACTCTGAAACTCTTTTTCTCTTGCGGGCCGGGGGGATTTACTCAAAAGTTACTTTGTGATTACTAAAATAAACAACGTTAACCATTTATATTTCAAGGTTGGTTATTCCCCCCCCTTCCCCTAGCACTTTTCTCCATCATCGATTTACGACTTCAAACTGCAAATTGTCCTGCTACGTGTGAATGCGCCTGATTCCCAAAAACGTGAGCCAATCTTTTCGCGAATCCGAATGGCGATAAACGTAGAGCATGCGCGATATCGGTTCTTCCCGAACCGGGGAGTCACCGGCCGTCGTGGTCGCGGCAAGGCGTCCGACTGAGGCGGGAAGAGGTTAAGGCACCGTGACGCACGGAGTCTTTTCGCAGAGCCTCCGCGCGGCGGCTGCGCGGGAGCGTGCACAGCAGCGGAGGGTTTATGCAAAGACGGGACTTCCCCGGCCCGTCCTCTCGCCCACGTCTGTTTCGCCCCGCCCCGAAGACGGCATCAGGCAGCGATATATAAGCGGTTTACGCCGATGGATCAGCATCACTTCAAGTGAAGCAGTAAGGACCCTGCACAGCCAGCGTATCCAACTCCTACTCCGCAGCCCTTTGTGAGTATGCACCAAGTGTGCATCGTCTTTTGGAACGCGAAAATCACCAAACGACCCTTCCTCGGGCCTCCGTCAAAAATGTGGCAAAAATAGCAATTTGAAGTAAATGTGGCTGTGGAAGCTCTCTTAGCGCCTGTCAGGTAGGCAACATCCTGGCTGGGATGCATGCGTGTCCTGCGGGGTGGCCTACCCTGAGTATCACAGGCGCCTAGCTCCCGTCGTTCGCCGTATGAAACTGAGGGAAACGGACGTACTTTAAGGATGGCCGGGCGGCTCCACCCCACATCACGTACGTGCTCTTTCTAACGCTACACTTTGTCGCTCACAGGCCGACATGCACTCCCCCGTGCCCGTCGCCCTTGCGCTATTGGCGTGCGCCGTGTGCGCCGTCCTCGCCGCCCCAGCCGCCCAGCAGAAGACCCCCTTCAAGTTCCCCGCGCCCGGATCGCCTCCGCCGCCGCCGCCCAACCAGCGTCACGGGCAGCTTGGTGGCTACGTGGACCGGCAGAAGGGGGTGGGCACCTCGGTGCACATCAACGGCCAGGGTGACGCCTGGGTGTCGCGCAACGGCAACAGCAGGGTGACCGTGGACGGCCACTACGGGCAGTACATCAGCGGGCCGGCCAAGGGAGCCAAGGACTACGGCGGCTTTGTCACCTTCAAGCACAACTTCTAGATGGATTGGCAAATAATGTGAGAGTATGAAAAGTTCTGTTTTTTTTTTTGTTGTTTTTTTTTT